AAGAAGAAGAAGAAGAAGAAGAAGAAGAAGAAGAAGAAGAAGAAGAAGAAGAAGAAGAAGAAGAAGAAGAAGAAGAAGAAGAAGAAGAAGAAGAAGAAGAAGAAGAAGAAGAAGAAGAAGAAGAAGAAGAAGAAGAAGAAGAAGAAGAAGAAGAAGAAGAAGAAGAAGAAGAAGAAGAAGAAGAAGAAGTTGTTGAAGTTGTTGAAGTTGAAGTTGAAGTTGAAGTTGGAAGGGACCTTGGATGTCATCTAGTCCAACCCCTTGCTCAGGCAGAAAACCCTATACCATTTCAGACAAATGGCTGGCCAGTCTCTTAAAAACTTCCAGTGTTGGAGCATTCACAACTTCTGGGGGCAGGTTGTTCCACTGATTAATTGTTCTGACTGTCAGGAAATTTCTCCTTAGTTCTAGGTTGCTTCTCTCTTTGATTAGTTTCCATCCATTGCTTCTTGTCCTGCCTTCAGATGTTTTGGAGAATAGCACCTGGAGAATACATGACTTTTAAAATAATAAAATAAAATGTCAGAATTCATTTCTTTAGAATAATTTTTTTAACATTTTTATATTAGCATTTACTTAACTGAAGAAGCATTATTTTGAAGTACCTTAATTAGAGAAAGATATAAAAAACATTGGTCAACTAGGTTTAAAATAACACTACAGGAGATTATTTGTAGCTCAGGGTTGACATGAAAGGTCCATGGTGCTCTCTGAGCTTGCTCGTTTTCTTGCAGATGTTTCATTATCCTAACTAGGTAATATCATCAGTGCTAGTAAGCAGTGCAGTTTGCTGTCAGTTTCTATTCTGGTGGCTTGCCCTGTCAGTGTTGGTGGGGGTGGTCTTAGAGATTCTTTGATTGGGCTGTTTGCTGTTGGCTTCTTTGGCAGTTTCTTGACTGGGGTATTGTTTACTTGATTGTTGGTCTGATGTTAACCCTGGAGTTAATCTATGCTGATCTGGGTGCTGATTGCTGGTGGAGAGGTGTTTGGGTCTTCTTGTTCCTTTTTGGGCTGAGAGCACCAAGGACCCCTCATTAAAATAACACTGCTACATATTTTCTGTATGGTTCCATTGTTTTATTATTTTATTTCAATTTTTTTATTATTATTATTTTATGTCAATATTTTTCTACAATTTCTCTTTTCAGAACAAGACATTTCCAAGGCTTGTTTGTTTGATTTCAGTTATGTTAAAGCAATTTCTTACTGTACCCAGCATAGAGTGGGGCACGTTGGTTGCATTCCTTTATTGGAAATAAGAAGTGGAAATATTAACCTATATCTTATCTCCACAGGCCATTGTGCACAATAGGATACATGTGTGTGTTTTTTCCTATAGGTTTTGTCTCTCCTAGAGTTGAAAGGGAGAGAATCTATCCTACATTTGTCAAGCTAAAGTTCATGGTCAGTGTTCAACATTTTCAGTCCCTCTGAATCGAATAGAAATATATAAAAAAAGACAGTTCTACTACATATATAAATTTAGTGGTTAGGATCTTGACTCAATCTTTTGCATTGTATTAGTAATAAAAACTCATGAATAGAATTATATAAAAATCATCTAAGAAATATTATTAATTGTTAACATGCTCAAAACTTTCCTGAAATGCTTTGGGTATTTTGTCCAAGAATGCACATCTAAAGTAGCTTCAACTTTCTTTTAAATGAGTTTAATGCTAATACTCTATTGCTACTTAATTATATCCATAGCAGCATTTTCATCCATATGCTATGAGAATTGATGGCTAACCTATGATTCCTGAATATTTTTGCAACTTGAGAACCCTGTCAAATTCTTCTAGTGAACTTCAAGCTGTGCCATTTTCAAGCATTTTGAGGAAGGAATTACATTTAAAAAGTGATTTAAACTGTAAAATAGGTTAGAACAGTTTAAAAAAAAAACAAAGAATACCCCTCCCCACCAACCTTTCCCAAGAACAGAAAAGTGTAGACCTTTCCACATATATAAATCCATTCCACTCATTTTATTCATTGCCTGTGATTCTTGCCA